TCTACCACTTGAGCCACAGCGCCACTTCTGGCTTTTTTCTTTTTGCTTATGTGGTGCTGAGGAATCGAACCCAGGGCTTCAGGCATGCAAGACAAGTGCTCTACCACTGAGCCACCTTCCCAGCCCCGACAGGTCCATTTTCTAAGGAGAACTTTGCATCCCTTTTCACCAGGAGAGCTGCGGGAGCCAATTATCTGACCCAAGGGACTTTCTTCCCCGGGGAGACCATGGCCCCATTTCTCCCTTCTTTCTCCCTTCCCCCAACGCCCTTTACCTCCCAGGAGCCACAGCCCCCAGCCCTGGCTCCTGGGCGGTTTGTCTTCTCAATCTAAGTCCATTTTGTGTTTCTTCTCCCGAGGACGGGGTCAATTTCGTCCCCTACGCGGGAACCCCACGACCCCTCAATCCTCTCCGTCCACAGTCCTGAGCTGACCCAGACCCCAGCCCAGACCCACCGCGACCCACCTGCCAACGAGGGGGCCGCCCAACCGCTGGGCTCCTCCACGGCCCGGGGAGACCGAGGGCCCGCGCGCGAGACCCGCGCTCACCCCCCCCCAAGCCAACACCCCCACCTCCACGTTCCCTCGCCACCCCAACTCCCTCCTCTACCCCCCCACGACACCCTCCCGCCCCTCAACTGCCACCTCTCCCCTCCAGCACATCCCTCCCCTCGCCTCCCCCGCCCCCTCCCCGGCCCCAGCCCTCATCACTATCTCCCACCCCCATCTCCGCCCTCCTGCGCCCCCCCACGCCCATCTTCCCAGCACACCCCTGCCCGGCCTGCCCCGCCTTCCCCACCCCTGCCCCGGCCCACCCGCGCCCCGCTGACTCACAAGGACTCCAGGTGCTGCAGCTGCTGCAGCTGCTGCGCGTCCCGGCGCCGCCGTTTCAGCTCCCGGCGCCGCTGCAGCTCCTGCTCCGCCGGTTCCCGCTGCCGCCGCGCGCCCCCGCCGCCTGGCCGTCCCCGCGCCGCACCATGACCGGCTCCGCGGCCGACACTCAGCGCTGCCCCCACCCCAAAAACGCCAAAGGCACCCGATCCCGGAGCAGCCACGCGCGGCCTGTGAGCCTGGCTACCAGCGGGGGTTCCGAGGAGGAGGACAAAGACGGTGGGGTGCTGTTTCACGTTAACAAGAGCGGCTTCCCCATCGACAGCCACACCTGGGAGCGCATGTGGATGCACGTGGCCAAGGTGCACCCCAAGGGGGGAGAGATGGTGGGCGCCATCAGGAACGCCGCCTTCTTGGCAAAGGTCAGTGGCCGCCGCCGGAGAGGGTGGGATGGGCGGTGGAAAGAGATCTCCGTGTCGGGGGGTGGGGCGGGGGAGTGGGGAGAGTCCCGCTAGGAACTCCAGGTCCTCCCACCAGCTCTTGCCTTCATTGTCAGCGCCTTGTCTTGGAAGCTGTCCTGGAACTGAGAGGTTGGGTTGGGTTGGGCCAAGGTGTCTCCACGAAACTCACTCATTTCCTGAAGGCCTTGTATATCCTGCGAACCCGCCCGCCACACCAGCCCTGCTGAGAGCGCAGACGTCCCTGAGGATCCGCTGTGCTTGTCTCTTGGAAGTGTCTCGCTCCTCTCCCAGCCCCCACCCCTCGTAGCAAATGATTTATTAAGTTGTGAATGAATTTGCAGTCAACCAGTCAGTTGACTCATTTCTAGACTTTCTGCCAATTTTTTTTTCTTCTCTTTCATGACAGTGACTTTCACCTCTGAAACTTGCATAAACAGAGATTTGGCTCTTCCTAGCTTATCTGGGATCAGAATGGGAGGGGGGGAAGGAAGAGTTTTGGCTGTGTCTTAGAAGGGACTTTCCAATACACTCGATGAATTAGTCTTTCTGGATAAAAGAAGAGAGACTTCAGGAATGAAGTTCTCTTTTTACCTTGGAGAGAAGCCAGTGAGGCGATTGGGCTTGGAATCAAGAATATTATTACAGAAGGAAGGGGGGGATAGCTGCCTTCTAGAAAAATTCAAAATGTATGCTGGGAAGAGATGCTGAAGAGCCTGGGTGCCTAAGTGTAGCGTCTCTTGGACACTGGTGTGGCCGAAATTCCTGGACAGGTCTAGGAATAACCAACCCGAGACCTAGAAGGCCATCTGGTAGAGTCCCCAGTCTGGTGACAGCTGAGCCTCTGAGCCTGCCAGCCAAGAGGCTGCGTGTGCCCTTGGGGATGTGACAGAAACAGCAACTTCCTGCTGTATCAGTCAGTGTTTTATTACTCTGCTGGTCAAGGAAGTCTTCATTATGCCCAACTAGAAGCTTGTCTGCTTGAATGCCATCTGCAATTACCACTTGCTCAGTTCTCCTTGAACACAAACAGCGCTGTTTCTGGTTTGCAGTGGTGAATTCAGAATTTTTCTTTACTTTCACATGAGCAGCCCAAGCCCTTAAATGTGGAAGAGGTGGCCACTGGGGACAGGGGATAGTGTGGCAACTGACCCGTGTTGCCTCTCTGACTCACATCCTCAGCCCCTTCCTGCCTCCAATGGTGTCTTCAGCCTTCTTCCAACCTTGTATGTGGAAGCCTTTATCCACATGGGAACTATGGAATCTTAGTATTGAATCTCTTTTTCCTGAAGACTGCCAGGCAGTGAGAGGCTCACCATCCCTGGCATTTCCAGGCCTAGCCAGATTTGATTGTATGTGTGTGTATAGAGATAGTGGGGGTTGAACTTAGAGCCTCATGCTTAGCCTTTTTGCTCAAGGCTGATGCTCTACCACTTGAGTCACAGCTCTGCTTTTAGAAGCATTTTTTGTAGACTAGAAACCTACCACACATGCACACACACACACACACACACACACACACACACACGCCCACAATTACATTTTACCATTGGTCCTGGTGTTGCTCTTTGAATCAGAACACAGCATTATCACCTTTCTATGCTGCTTACAATGATCTTGAATACTATGAGATGTTGTTCTGATGATAGAAATCAAGGTAGTAAATTCTAGTCTTGGCTGTGCTACATCTAGCTTTGCAGTCAGGTCATTCATTTCAGATCTCTAGCTTTGCATTTCTTATCTGTGAGATGAGAGTGGTCCAGGTTTTAGCCAATGTTCTTTCTAATTCTAAAATCCCATAACATTCGATCTGTGAGTCTCTGGATCTCTAATGCTGATCTGTCTAGCAATCTACTAGATCATGAGCCCCCAGAACCGTGACGTTCTGTCATTCTACATCTTCCTTTGGTCTTCTTTGTCCACCAGTATCACCTTTCACCCTTTCCTATGTGTCACAGTTCCCAGACCAATGGACACTCCTTCCTTGGCCACTTCCTAGGATAGTTGCTAGTCTGAGTAGTTTAGAACATAGAACTTCTGCTTCTGAGACCTGCACCTGATTTGTTCAGTATTATAGCTGAATTCTGTTCTTAAACAAGAATATTCCTAGCCTAGTAGAGTGGCTGCCTGCCTCTAATCCTGGCACTTGGGAGGTGGAGACAGGAGGATCATGAGTTCAAGTCTAGCTTGGGATATAAGACTCTGCCTCAAAATAAAACATTATTTGTTCTCTAATGCAGTACTGTATTATCATGACACTGCTACTCAGCCAGGATTTCTCCCACCCAAAGGTTAGCAGTTGGACTTTTGAATCTGAATAAAAACTTAAATATTTCCTTCTTTTATATTGCATCTTAGTCATCGGCTCTCTACCTCCAATACCATCACGGCATCTCCTTGGCCCCCACTTTCCCCAAACGTTGGCTTCAACGCAGGACCAGACATGGAAATGATTCTAGAAGTTCCTGTGTCTAGAGGCTCCATCTCTCAGACGCAAGAGCTGTTCCTATGTTAAGCTTGGTAGACTTTCATCAGTAGCCAAGTCTTCACCTTCCACCAAATCAACTCTTGCTGAGAAATTTGTACAGAAGAGAAGACCTAAGAAGGTCACACCAATTTATGTTCCCTTCATCCTGTAGGAAAGCGTTCTTGCCAGCAGTGGTATCTGCATCTCAGAATGTCCTTGCTAGCTGGAAAGGTGGGAAATTATATTTTACAGAAGCTTTCATTTGCATTATTACTTTGAACATTCTGTTGTGAATCATCCTTTTGTGACCTTTCCCTTTGTTGTGGTAAAACATATGTGGCACGGAATTTACTGTTTGAATGAGCTGGAGTTGTGCAGTTGCTCTACTTAGGATCTTTAATGTCCCACAATGGCCCGTATGTTGAAGACTCAGTCCCTAGCTTATTGAGAGGTGATGGAACCTTTCAGAGATGGGGCCTAGAGGAAGAGGTTTGGGTTATCAGGGTGTGTCCTTGGAGTATTGGGATGTTGACTCCTTCCTGTCTCTCTTTGCTTCCTGAGGTGAGCGTCTCCTATGAGTCCTTTTCTACCACACACTCTTGCTATGTGCCACCTAGAGGTTCAGAAGGCGACAGGATCAAGTAGCCATGGAAAAAAAGGTGCAGGGAGGGACACACACACACACACACACACACACACACACACACACACACACACACACACACACACACACACACACACACACACACACACACACCCAGGATGGATTCCGGAGGAACTATCCATTGGTTTCTTGCAGACTCTAGGTGTTTTATTGGGTCTCATTCTCACATTTCTTCCAAATTGGGAAACATTCACACGTAAAGTTCTTCACTATGCCTGGGTGCAAATGTGTGAGTGACGGGGACGAGACTTTGCTGCAGGCAGGGCTCCACACGGAGCCTGCCCTCTGCAAGTTCACATGGGCAGCTCCTTCCCTCCCTCTGTCCAGGCCTGGAATGGTCTTGTCCACCCTGTTCAACCTGAGTTGGCGAGAGGACCTCTATACCAGGGCCCTGATTGGGGTGCCCAGAGCCTGTATCAGGTTCATGGGTGCTGCTCTGTGCTTCTCTCCCATGTTGTGGGGTGGGTTCTTTGTTTGGAGCCTGTGCTGTGTATTTTTCAGAGCAGAGATAACAAAGCACTTTGCTTTCTCCTGGTTCCTGTCACAGATTGCTAGTTTCTGGGCCTTTTGCTGCCTCCCTGGCTCCTTGCCTGCTCTCCCCTTCTCTCCCGCATGGCAGTGCCAGTTACACACCTGTGCTTCTTCACATCCTTCCCTCTTGTTTTCTTCTGACAGCCCATTCATGGTTGGCAAGAATAGGGTGGAAGAGAGACAGGCCGCAACAGTCTTGCCCGTGATTTGTCTTTTATTTAGTTGTTATTTATTTTTTCTTTTCTCTTTTGTCAGTCATGGGGCTTGAACTCAGGGCCTGGGTGCTGTCCTTGAGTTTTTGTTTTTTTTTTTTTTGCTCACGGCTAGTGCTCTACCATTTTGAGCCACTTCCGGTTTTAAGAGTCTCACAGATTTTTTTCCTGCCTGGGCTGGCTTTGAACCATGATCCTCAAATCTCAGCCTCCTTGTGTAGGTAGGATTATAGGTGTGAGTGACCCGTGCCAGGTATCTTTTTCTTTTTTAAGTAGCACTGGGGGTTGGACCAAAGGTCTTGTGCTGTACAGGCAAGCCCTCTACCGCTACTTGAGCTATACCTCTAGCTTTGTGTTATTCTTGTTCCTCTTGAACTACCATTTTTTGCCCGCTCACCTTCCTCTTCTTTCCTCCCCAGTAAGCCTCGCTGGACCCCTCCCTCTGGTCATAGGCCCATAGATTCCTTCTGGATTCTACCTCAGTCAGCTAGACTATTGGCAAGGCGGGATGAAGGTAGCAGAAGGTGATAGCATTGAGAGGGAAGATCATCGAAAATCAAAGTTGGGTTTCAGGTTGGAACTGGTAAAATCCAACAGGGAACTAGCCTGAGGAGAGATATTCAATGGGGAAGAAGAAAAAGAGTAATCCTGGGCTTTTCCTAAAAAGGCTAGACCAATTTATGTTCCCTTCAGTACTGTAGGAAAGCATCTTGCCAGCACTGGGTTATCTGTGTTTCAGGATGTCCTTACCAGCTGAAAAAGTGGGAAATGCTATTTTACAGTAGCTTTTGTTTGCATTAAAATTTTGATTTGAACATTTTTTTTCAAATATGTATTCACTCTTTGCATTTATTCTGTCACTCATTGTCATTTTGTGGCTGCTTCCTTTGTTGCAGTAAAACACACGAAACACTAAATTTATTGTTTGAACCAGTTGAAGTTGTATAGTTGCTCTTGTTCAGTTCTTCAATATCTTTCCCCCTCCCCCCCATCCCTACCCCTTGCCCCAGGCCCATGTGTGTGGAAGGCTTTGTCCCCAGCCTGTTGGGAGGTGGTGTAATTTTTCAGAGATGGAGCCAAGAAAAAGATGTTAGGTCATTGACCTGTGTCCTTGAAGTGGGTATTGGGAACATTGAGTCCTTCCTGTCTCCCCCTTTGCTTCCTGGCCACCATCAGGTAAATGAGTCTCACCTACTACACACTCTGGCTGTTTGCCAACTAGAGGTCCAAAGGCAATAGGATCAAGTGGCCCTTGGCTGAAATCTCTGAAGCTATGATCCAACCTTTCCTCTTTATAAGTTGTTATCACAGGTATTTTGTCTCACAGTGATTGAATTCTATGACCTGAGGACATTCACATTTCTGTGCTTGTTATACCCATCCTTCTCTAGGACCTTTCCTTCCCTGACACTTGTTCAAATTAAGCACTAACTCCATAAGCTACTCTTTGCCTGGTCCCCTTGGCAACTGTTCTTCCAACTGTCCTTGCAACTTTCTGTCTCTATGAAACTGACAACTCTAGGAGTCTCATTTAACAGGAATTATACAATAGGTGCCCTTTTATGATAGGTGTATTTCACTTAGCAAAATATGGTTATGATGCATCCACAGGTTAGCCTTTTTAAGGCTAATATTCCATGATGTGTGTATATCACATTTTATTTGTTTTATCCATCCATAGACCAAATAACTTGGATTGTTCCTACCTTTGAAGAGACATTGAGGCCCCAAGACTTTTCTTTGTATGAATTCTTCAGAAATTAAGGATATGAATTCACCATCACCACATGTCCCCAGGGGGAAGTTGATGTTCTAAATTCCATTAGCATGTGAAGCTCTGGAGTTAAGTGTCCAGGAACTCAGGAGCCTTACTGTGTCTGTTTTCCAGTTCTTAGAAAGGGAATGGAAGCCATTGGGGCCTTTCTGGTCTTAGACCTCTGACACAGTTGGCAAGGAGTAACAACACAACCTCCACCTATTGATCTCCTGTGTGCCAGGCTCTACTCTGCCTGCTTTAATACAGCAGTCTCGGATTTTTCACAGCTGGGAGACCTGAAGTAGGTGGTGTTATTCCTATGTTAACAGGAAGAAAATAGAGGCCTAGAAGGGTTATGTAGCTTCACTGAGGTAGAAGACAGAGCAGGGATTAGAACCTGTCTCTGTGTGTCTCCTCATAATGCTCCAAGAAGCCCACCAGTAGGAACACTGGCAGCCCAAGGCATTAGTCAAAAGCTGCCTTATCTGCGCCCAGCCAGGGCGAGTTGTAGCCGATGACATCATCCTTTGCTCCTCTCCTTACTGCAGCCACGAGTGGGGAATGTATACATTTGGCCTCCCAGCTGGGAGCAAATGTGGCCACATTTCCATTGCTCTGCTCACAGCCAGGCTGAGGTAACTGTGCAGCTGTTTTATAAAGCCCTTGGGCGCCGTTGGGTTGCTATTCTGAGAACCAGCAGCTGCCTGACTCTCCTCCCCTCCCCACTATCCGTCCTGTAGACCCTATGACCTTGAGGGGAGTTGAAATAATGCGGTGGTTGGACCCTCAGCAGACTCTGAACCTAGTTATTGGCTATGCAGGGCAAGCTATGCTCCCTTCAAATTTCCCCACACTTACCAAGTTTTTTCTTTTCCTTTTTTTTTGGGGGGGGGTCTGGTTGTGGGGCCTGAACTCTGGGCCTGAGCCCTGTCCCTCAGCTCTTCAGCTCAAGACTAGTGCCCTACCACTTGAGCCACAGCACCAATTCTGGCTTTTTTCTTTTTGCTTATGTGGTGCTGAGGAATCGAACCCAGGGCCTCATGCATGCAAGGCAAGCGCTCTACCACTGAGCCAACTTCCCAGCCCCACCAAGTTTTTCTTAAGTAGATTCAAGCACCTTTCTGTGTAGTACCATGCATAGCTTAATAAGCTGAAATGTCTTCCTCCTTTCTTTCCTGTACTCACTCTCTGCTTCTTGTCCTCCTGAACCTGCCTATAGAGAAATAGTGGTAAGGTATTTGTTCCCATCTGTCTTCTCTTCTGTCTGTGAAATTTCTGGCACCTTCTTACATAGAATTCCAGGTATAGGTAGACCCGTCTGTGGATAGTACTGCAATATCAAGATAAGCTTGATAATTATTACATTTTGAGGGTAGAAATACAAAGACACATTGTGTGTGTGTGTGTGTGTGTGTGTGTGTGTGTGGTGTAAAGTCATTTTGGTGAGAAGAATGTTCCAGTGTGAACATTTGCTCCCATGACTCTCCCAGACAGAAATGTGATTTATTTGTGTTGAGGTGTTATAAAGAAAGCATGGCTTGCAGAACAGTTGTGCCTGTGTGTCACCCACACAGCCACATTCACGGTCGCACGCGCGCGTACATACACACACACACACACACACACACACACACACACGCCTTGATGTAGAAAGTGTGACTAGTTTCTCTTTCACTGAAGGGAAGTGGTAGCTGCTGTGAATTGAGACGTCTCAAAGCCGTGGTGGTCTAGAGGCACTGAGAGGAAAGCAGGTCAAAGAATGGCCTGAGGGGTATAGGTATGAAAAGCCTTTGCCCGTGCCCAGGGCAGCTTGCCCTCAGCTTACTCGAAAGGTTTGTGCCTGGAGAGCCAGTGAGAGAGCCAGGAACATACTGAGGCAGCATCTGTTTTTTGCTGCCCACCAAGCTGTCCAGGGCTGTCCCCCAAGTCTCATCAGCTTCCCTTCCTATCTCTAATGACTAATCCTGGGGGCGGGGGCTCCCTGGCCCTGTTTTCCCCAAGGAAAGGGCTAATCTTCCTTTGAGCTCTTTCTGCTGTTCCCTAAGAGGCTAATAATGCTTGGAGGACTCTCCCTCCTAGCTCCACAGACGCTAAGCTACTCTGTCACCAGTGACTCATCTCACAGACACCAGGTCGGGAGACTGAGAAACATAAGGGAGGAATAAGCACATGCAGAACAGAAAAGCTCAAACACATATACACACAACAAAGGGAAATCAAATCATGGAGTGGTTTGGCTTAGTGTGGACCAAGAGGCAGAGTAGAAATTAAAGTTGACCTGGCTGCGCTGAGGGGTAAAAGAGTAAGAGCCTTACCTCCTGAGTCGAAGGAGCTGCAGAGAGCCAAGGAAAGAAGAGGAATCATTTCTAATCCATTTAGGAAGACATGGTGCCCCAAAGCTCCATGATGCAATGTTTCCAGGGCATCATTGGCCTTGTATCCTGTGCAAATGATGCCTAGAGCAGAGCACATACAATGGAAGGTTGCACATTGTTAACCACACACCAAAATGTGTCATGCAATAAAAATAGCAGAATTCAAGGTATACACTACCTCTCTGTCCATTCTAGGCCAAGATCTATAGGACTTGGTTCTAGAACTAAAGAAGCACTTCAACTCCCACGAGGGAGGCAATACTAAAAGAACCACAAGAAACCTCTCCCCAAATACCGGGTGTCTGGTGGGAGTTCAGACGGGGAGCTTTGATGAAGAACCAACCATTCTGAGAAGATCCGGTGAAGCAGGCACCCCTGGCGGTTTCAGTGTTGTGCCCAAAGTACCTCCTGATAAAAAAAAAGATCTCTCTATTTCTTCACAGCCTTCCATACCCCAGGTTCCAAACTACAGACTATCAATGACCATCCCAGATTGGCTCCAGGCAATCCAGAATTACATGAAGACTCTACAGTATCCTTCCAGCCAGGATCTGAGCAGACCTGGGAGGGGTAGGCATGCTGATTGCAAGCTTAATGGCATGTCTGTCTGTCCCCAGCCAAGCGTCCAACATTCTCTAAGGTTGGTGAAGCCAGGCATGGAGAGAGATTCTTGGGTGAGAGCCTGGAAACAGCAATAATGAAGGATATCATTGCATCTACCAGGCCTTTCTCTCAAACAGAGTGAAGGTGAGGGCAGAAAGGGGGAAGTGAGGCAGGTGATCTGCCTTTAGTGCCTCTGGCTTCTTTCTTTCCTTCCCCTCTGACCTTTCCTGTGTTCTCCCAGAAGTGTCCTCTTCCTCTGGTTTTCTCTTCCACTTCCTTCCTCTTGAACATCCTTGTTCCCTAACTCTTTTCTACTGAATATCTTTTTTCACTCTCCCTCTTCTTCTTTACTGTTCTTCTTTCTCCTCACTTGTTGGACTTGGCCCCTGACCTCTCATGAGCTGAAGAGACCCACCTGCTACTGTCTTTGGCTCTCCCCAGAAACCCAGCCTGGTGACCTTGCTGAGAAACTGTGGGGCTCAGGCTGAGTTGGGGCTAGCCAGATTGGTCCCATCCTTCTCCGGGGTCCTTAGCCTGTTTGTGGTCAAGGTTAGATCAATTGCAGAGCTCACACAGACAGTACAGTAGGAATATAGGGGTAGCCAAGTTTTCCACCTTTGAAAGGATCTGGTTTTTAATCATCCTTTCCTCTGACCCATTACAATGGTCGTTGGCCTACATCACTGAGCAAGCACAGGGAAACTGTGGGTACTGTGCTGCTGGCAATCACCGGGCCTTTGGAGTCATTACTTATGGAGGCAGAGGATAGGCACTTTCTTCTGCCTTCTGACCTGATGCGTTTAATTTCTTTGTGACTCACTGATTTGGAAAGAAGAGTCTCACAGACTTCCCAGGCTGGCTTTGAACCTTGATCCTCAGCTGTCAGCCTCCTGAGTAGATACAGGCATGAGCCACTGGTATCTGGCTCACAGCTTGTATTGTTAATAGTCTTACAGTCAGTATCATGCCCTGGATCTTATCCTGGAGCCTTCAATTCAGTAATTTGAGGTGGAGGATTCTGAGTAGCATCCAGGTTTAAGAATCATTGCCTGAAAGCGCAATCTCTAGGGTGTGCCTAGAATTAACGTGTTGAGCCCTGGGGATGGAAGTTACCTATGCCCATGTTAGTGCTGGGAGAGTTTGGAGTCCTGGAGTAGGCTCAAAAAATGTGGGACGCAGCAAATCTCATGCACCTGGCCTGGACTGCAGCAGCTCTGGCCACGCAAGCTCATGCTTCACTAGCACCCTCCCAACAGGCACTTTTCTGTGGTTGCTTTTGTTCTGGTTTTCTTGTATATTTGGGATCAATTCCAGAGCCACTACTAGACAAACACCACTACTAAGCTACATCTCCAGTCTCAACAGGCATTTTTTTTTCTATAGGATTTTGTTTGAGACAAAAGCACAAAACGCACAAAGCAACTTTTCGTTAAGCTCAGAAAATCAAGATCCCATGTCAGAAAACAAGGCATCAGGGAATCTCAGAATCACCTGGTGCAGGCCTGCCAGTCCCAGAGAACTGGGCAATCAATCAAATTCAAGATGTTCATAGTGGTGCCATCTTTGCAAATTAGTCAAGTGTCAGTCCATGAAATGATGTTTCCACAGTAAGTTCTTCTGTGGAGTCTGCTGTTGAAAAACCTTACTATTGTTTATCTATCTTTCTATCCATCCCATCCATCCATCCATCCTTCCATCTATCCATCCATCCATCATTTCCATCTGTCCGCCCATCTTTTTACTCATTTATTAATCTTTCCATCCATCCATTCATTCATTTATTTCTTATCTATTAATAATAGATGCCAACTTGCGGCTTCTTCCAGGTTTTATAGGTATTCTAAAGATAATAAAGGATGGTCCCAACTCTCAAAGAGCTCATAGTTGTAGATGAATTAAGACATGCATTCAACTAACCATAATACAGAACAGATTGACAAAAGCTATCATAAAGGTTCAAGGTACTTTGGGGACCTCAATTAGAAATCAGAATTCTTGGGCTGGGAAGGTGGCTCAGTGATAGAGTGCTTGCCTTGCATGCATGAAGCCCTGGGTTCGATTCCTCAGCACCACATAAGCAGAAAAAACCAGAAGTGGCACTGTGGCTCAAGTGGTAGAGTGCTCTCCTTGAGCTGAAAAGCTGAGGGACAGTGCTCAGGCCCAGAGTTCAGGCCCCCGCAACTGGCAAAAAAAAAAAAAAGAAAGAAAGAAAAGAAAGAAAGAAAAAAAAAGAAATCAGAATTCTTGGGAAGGACAGTGAGGAGTTAGAGGAAGAGCTATCTTCTGGGTCCTGGCCACTTTTGCAAAGCACCTCGTTCCTTACCCCTTTGAGATATGATGGTGAATGTTTTCCTTTGCTAGATGACTGGGACTTTTGGAATTTTCTGTCATTTTCCCTTTACATACCTCACACAGATACAATCATACGGGGACCCAGTTCTTTGAAATTAGGAAAATGAGACCGCTTAGTGGGTAAGTGGTGCATGATGTGTGGGCCAGATGACCTCTCTTTTACCTGAGAGATGCTAATTCCCTCTTAACCTTATGTCCTAGTGCTCAAAGATCCTGGTTTATATAGGGGAGGTGGGACCAGGACCAGGTTAGAGGTGGGACTGAGGATTGGGCCCTTTTGACTAAGCAAAAGACTATGAGGCCTCCTTTATTGGTTCCATTGTAGGCTCCCCTGGTCTATGGCTTTGGAACACTGGTGCTCTCTCTAGGAAGTATGTCTTGGAGAGTAGAGTGGAAAATTGAGGATTTTAGTTTAGCCAAGTGCAGATATGCTTTTGTGTATTCTTATGAAGCAAAGTCTCCCTTCTCCCTCTATATTTCTGCATGACGCCAAATGTGGAGACAGGCATGCTGATGATTGACAGATAGATGGGCTAATTGCACAACTAAATAAGGCCTGAAGTTCTCTCTTGTGCTCTCTCCTACAGGTTAATGGAAACAGCAAAAGAAATGACCCGTGAATCATTGCCTATCAAATGCCTTGAGGCTGTCATCCTGGGCATGTATCCTTTAGTTATGTGTGCTTAAGTTTACTGCACACATGGTGATTGTACTGTGAGGATGGGTGTGTCTATAGTGTCCTACATCCACAGAAATGATGCTCATTGTCTCCTTGGAAAGTGTCAAACTCTGCTGGCGTTCCTATTTTATTGTACCAAAATTACTCTACCATGTTAGCTGTAGCATCTGTCAGGATCAGCCATCAAGCCAGTGACCACACAGATTCACCAGTCACTGGGAGCTCTTAGAGCTCTTCCTGGTATTAATTTGACATTGTCCCAAGAAAGTTACTTTTGGGGAAGTGGTCTGGCATGCAAATCCATCTTCAGGAGATTATGGGAGAGACCAAACACTGGAAGTATATCTTGATGAGTTACAGCTGACATAATGGGCTAATCTCTCTCCTACTTTCTGTTCCATTTTCTGGCTTTTTGGCTTGGAAGGAGTATTGCTCAGAACAACTGAGATGAGTCCCTTATTGGTGGTGATGGCAATTAAACATGACTGGATAGAAGAGCAGAGAAACTCCAAGTCTCCTGGAATGGGTGGGTGGAAGAGAGTGTGGCCAAAATAAAACAGCGAGATCTGAGTTTTGGAGATAGTCCCAGGTGGAACAAGTTGCATGTGTGAGTACTGTGTTAAGGAGAGACCTTTTCCTAAAGGCCGTGGGGGACTGTGGAAGCTGTGAAGCAGAGGAGTGGTAGGGTCAGATGTACTCTTTAGAGAGAAGCTTTCTAAAGGACAGACCAAAGAAGATAGATTGGGGAAAGGTGGTACTGCCTCTTCAAAGCCCATCGGAAGCTCTTACAGAAGAGGATGGTGATGTCTGAAGCATGGCCCTGGCCATGGGTGTGGATTTGAGAGGGTGTTCTCGAGATGTCAAGGAGATTGAGTGAATAGGACTTAGAGACCAACTGGATACTGGAGTTGATAAGTTAACAAATACAGATTTCCTGACTTGGCCACAGTCTCTGTTGAAGATGGGTTGGAGAAATGAGGGTGACAGTGAGGTGACAGATTCGTTAGTGGAGACTTGACTTGTCACAGTAACAGTAAAGGTAGAGGGAAGGGAAGGAGACATATCAGTGTTACTGTGGACTGATGTGATTTGAAGAGTTAAAAGGGGAAAGAGGTGGCCTTACACTCCTCGCTTGCACTAATAGTGCCACAGCCCAAGAGAAGAACTTAAAGGGAGGATCAGACTTATGGGGGTATGAATTGAGTAGGACTATAATGAATTTGGCTTATTGAATTTTGGGATATCGGGATGGAATATTTGCAGTGTAGGGCTGACATGAATCTGTACAGGAAATGCAAAATTGTGAGTGGTTGGGGAGGGTTGTGAGAATGGGGGAGCGGTTGTGCTTCCTGTTCAAGAAGAGGTGAAGCTGATCAAAGATGAAATCGGAGTTAATTCCAGTTAGATATAAAGAGCCCATGAAGAAAGACTTAGGAAGGAAACTCAAAGAGGTAGAAGGAAAACCAGGAGACAAAGGAGTTACAACCACAATGGTAGGATACATGGTTGAGAGTTAGACTGGGAAAAGTAGAGGTGTCTAGTCTATTTTCTTGATCTCCTGAGCAGTTTCTTTTTTGTTGTTTTTGTGTTTGTTTTTTTGAGTTGCTGGGGATTGAACCCAGAATCTCATGCATGTTACGCAAGCACTCTTATCACGAGCTACAGTACAAGTCCCAAAGTTTCGGACTTCGTAGGGTTTTATAGTGTGTGTGTGTGTGTGTGTGTGTGTGTGTGTGTGTGTGTGTGTTCTAAGGTGGCACCCAGGGCTTCTCACATACTACTGCTAGACATTTCCATGGGACAGGAAATTTCTGCTCCTTTCTGCCTTCTGTAGAGCACTCAAAGGCCTGGTATAGAATAAGACAGTTCACAGGTGCTTGAAAAGTGGACACTTAAGCCTTATTGAAGCCCCTCTCTCCCCCTCCTCCCTCTCTTTTCTCTGCTTCTCCCAAAGGAGAAGAAACTTGTGTCTGGGGAGCTCAGCAGGAGGTCAGGGCTGGGTCTGGCATCAGATGGCTCAGGGAGGGCCTTAACTCTTGAGTGGCAGGAATCAGCCACAGCTGTTTAGCAGGGACTCTTGCAAGTTTAATGGCTTGAACAGCCCAGGGATCTGCTGGTGGAAATCAAAGCACATAAGCCCAGGCCCTTTGCTGGGTAGATGAGCTAACTTCAGTTGCTTTGCTGCTGGACATCCGAATGTACTCAGACATATATAGGTCATCTTGTTCTGCACAGTTTTATACATCTAAGCATCATGTCACTGGTTTTAGCCACGACCTTTGGGGATTGTGGAGAACAGATCAGTGACCCTGCCTCTGGGTTTGTGCTGTTGGTTTTCCTTTGTTCTTACCCATGTGACTTTGTAGAAGAGGGCAGGGAGAGTGGGGGAGAAGCAGCACACACTGCTGAACTCAGGGGAACCTGAGTCTTGGACACAGACCTACATTTAAGTCGCAGCATCTTTGCCTTCTCTTTGCTCTGTGTCAGCATCCTTGTGTCCCCTCGTGGACAGTGAAGGATGACTTGCGACCTCCTCTGTCATGGGTCCTAGGAAACCAGCAGTGCCTTGGGAGTTTCTTGAATCTGGTCAGTCTGGCTGTGTGGAAGCTACATCCATTCACCTCCTTCCTGGCTCCTTCTTTTCACTTCAGCCCAGAGTGTGGGATTTGTCTGTGATAAGCCCTGTCTTGCACACTTGCATTCTGGACACATAGATGTTTGGCTTCAAGTTATTTTCTCAATGATGGCACTTATTTTGAAGGGGTTTGTTGACTGTGGTAAGCCTTGCTCATAGTAGCATGGTTTATGAAAGCAACAGGTACATCATGAGAAGCAGGTTATCATTTCCCCCAGAAAGCTGGGTGTTGGCTCATTTTCCGTGGACTTTGGGTGCTGTTGCTCTCCTCTCCCTAGAAAAACTCAGGCTGCTTCCTGCGCTTGTCCTTCCTCTCTCTTCCTTCCTTTTCTAGAACCCAAGGCTTTACCGATGGCTGTGATGATAGAATTAAATCCTAGAGATGAGTGACTTGGGACCTGGCTGACTATACTTGTCCCCTAGGACAGATGCCCATATTACAGTCCTAGTAAGGGTGAGGAAACTTTTCCCTGCCAAAGGCCGCCATCTGAATGTTTATAACATTATTTTTCAAGCCATACAAATTATTCAATTCAAGTGGACAGTCCAGGGGCAGCCAAAGAGAAGCCTGCACGTCTGACCCATCCTATATCAAATAGTTTCATGGCCATATATGGCCCACAGCCCGGATGTTCCTCCATCTCTGCTAAAGAATGCTGGGTTTGCCTCTCTCACAGCCTATGGTTGTTTTTCTTTTCTTTTATTGTAGTAAATATGGCATAAAATTTACCATTGCAACCATTACAAATGTTGGGTTCAGTGATATTAAGAACATTTATAATGCTATGTGCTGGGTCAAAGCCAAGATGATGGTTAAGAGGCTGTGCTACCAAATGCACATGGGCTGGTGAGTGGACAGAAGTTGAATGATGTGGGTTGGGAGGGAGCAGCAGCCTTGGGTTTTGGTATGGAGGCTATTTTCTCGTGCTACCCCAGGCTCCTGCCAATGAGGTGCACATGTGACCCTTTCCGCCTCTTCTCCTCCCGATCACCAGTCAACACGTGCTTCATATCTCTCTATAGCCTTGGTTCTGGGTTTCATTTCTCTACTGGGCCATCTCATAGGCCTTCAAGTCCTGGTATTTCCACATACAACATTCCGAGCCCGTTTTTTGAATGTACAAAAAAAAGGAAGGAAGGAAAGGAAGGAAGGACAGAGGGAAAGAGAAGAGAAAGAAACAAAGAAGTAGAGTTGGACAGTTGGGCATACATCTGGGATTGTGCCATTGTGGCTCAGGCAAAAACACAACCAACCTAAAGCGAAAGGGTTGGAGGTTTAGGCCAAGTGACAGAATGCTTGCCAGACAAGTGTGGGACCCTGAGCTCAAACTGCAGTTCAACCAAAACCTAAAGGGTAAGGTAGCCTGTGATGTAATCCCAGCACTTTGGAGGTTTAGGAAGGAGGATCGTGAGTTTGACTGGCTTGGGTTATATAGAGAGACCCTGACTCAAAAAAAAAAAAATCCAACAACAAAAGCTCCCAGTATCTTGTAGAAAAATAAGGAAAAAGTGACTTGTAACTGTTTTGTTTTTTTGCATTTAATAACTGAAGAAGATAGCTTGTTTTCCCTCTGTCCTTGTTCATTTTGGTTTCAGTATGCATCCAGCAGTGAACACTGAGATCTCAAGCGAATGTCTTAGAAAAGGATTCATCTGGACAGGTTAGATGTGGCTCCTCAGGGCATCCCTGGGAGATTCTGTCCCTTCCTACAGCTCATGCGCTTTTCAAGGCCTTTAGTGTTTTCCTTGACTCAGATTGTTTAAGATACTTAACCAATGGACAGCCTTCCATCGAGCGATTCCCCATCAGCTTTAAAACCTACTTCTCAGGAAACTACTTTCACCATGTTGTGCTGGGAATTTATTGTAATGGCCACTATGGCTCACTGGGCATGAGCCGAAGGGCTGAGCTGATGGACAAGCCATTGACCTTTCGGACTCTGAGTGACCTTGTCTTTGACTTTGAAGACTCCTACAAGAAATACCTGCACACAGTCAAGAAGGTCAAGATTGGGCTTTATGTCCCCCATGAGCCTCATAGCTTCCAGCCTATTGAATGGAAGCAGCTTGTCCTCAATGTCTCAAAGATGTTGAGGGCTGACATCAAGAAGGAGTTGGAGAAATATGCCAGGGATATGAGAATGAAGGTAGGTACTGGGTCAACAAATAAGTGATTTGTGAGAGCGCTTTCTCCATTTCTCTCTCTCCTTCCCTCTCTTTCTTGCTCCAGGTCCTACATTTCTTTGGCTCTTCTTGTTTAGTGGTCACCCTATTAAAGTGAAAAATATGCCACATTATTATTATGATTAGTTTCTATTAACTATCAGAGGGGATTTCACTGTTACATGTCCACACATTTATAATATATTCCAGTCTCACTCCATCTAAGGCTCTGTCATCTCCCAACTCCTCCCTTCCCAAAACAATTTCAATAGGTTTCATTATTCTATTTTGATGGTTGCATATTTTGACCATATTCATCCCTCCCACTAATAATATACATCACCCATTCTTTTCCCATTCCCCCAAGTCCCAAGTCATTATTATTAATTTTTGTTGGTACTAAGGCTTGAACTCAGGGCCTGGGTGCTGTCCCTGAATGCTACCACTTTGAGCCATAGCTCCACTTCTGGTTTTCTGGTAGTTAATTGGAGATAAGAGTCTCACAGACTCAGACTTTTCTGCCCAGGCAAACTTTGATTCGGGATCCTCAGATCTCATCCTCCTGAGTAGCTAGGATTACAGGTGTGAGCCACCCGTGCCTGGCCCAAGTCATTTATTCTTAAATCTTTCTTCTCACCTTTCTAAGTTCACATTTTCAGCCAACTTTGGATTAAAAATAATTGCAGCTGTAGTAAATATGTACAGGCTGTTTTTCTTGTTATTGTTCCGTAAATAGTACAGTATGACAATGACTTAGGTGGGATTTACTTGGTGTTGTCTTGCAGTTGGTCTAGACAGGCTTTAAAGAATACAGGAGGGCATAAGTTATATACAAAGACTACATCATTTTATATAAGAGACTTGAGCATCCTTGGGGTTGGGCATCCATGAGGGGTTCCTGGAGCCAATCCCCTGTGAGGATCCTGACAAACAGCTGAACTTCAAATCCAACAGCCAATACAAACTTAGACATTATAATTAAAGAAATGTCTTGGTCCTCAAATGGTAGTTCTTTTGAACTGGATCTACAGTTCTGTCTGTTTTGTCTTTACAGTAGGATGACCAATCACTGCGAAGTGCATGAGGGGCTTCCCAGAACATGAGCATCTTAGTACTAAAACAAGAAAAGGCTCTGAAAACCAGGATGGGTGGCTTCTCTGCTTTAGGATCTATTTCAGAGTCACATTGTATTGCTGGTCTGACTTCTAAGCTGCAAAGCCCTTGACATAAAATTCAAACCTGGAGTCACCACTGCAGGCGAGAACTTTCACTAAGCTAGCCTCATGTAGATCTTTTTACCTCCACAGTGACACAATACCGGCTTGCTCCTGTGATTTCCAGGACTTGCCAAACTGCTAAGAGAAAGCTGGTGCACATTGAAGACCCAGGGGACAGGGGTCTGCTGACTTCAGGCTAGGTTATGTTTAGCACCGGGGAACTTTTCATTCTGCAGGAACCTGGAGTGTAGGTTTTGATAAATTGAGACTATACTGTCTGTGTGTGAGATAGGAGAATCACAGGAGGCTGGTTTGGGAGGCCATATAGATGAGACTTTGCCCTCTTGAGGAGAGAAACTTCTAAGCAACTAAACATAGCACCAGAAAACTGAAGCACTGGGCTCATCTTAGTGTGATCATTCTCTAGAAAAGTAGTATCCTTGCCTTTTCCAGGGCAGAATTGTTCCTGCTCTGTGCCATCCTTTATTTTTATTTTTATTTTTCTACAGGGAGGAATGAGAGGAGATTTGATCTAGACAGGCATTCTACTACTGAGCCATGTCCCCAGCCCCTGCTCAGTGCTTTCTAAACCACAAGATTATGGATGAACGGAGAGCTAGGATGCTATGTGGTGGGAAAATGGAAGGGTGGGGTGGGGGATTTCTAAGGAACTATGTGAATCACTCTTCATCTCTTCTGTAGATCTTGAAACCTGCAAGTGCCCACTCACCGACCCAAGTGAGAAGCCGGGGAAAATCCCTGTCCCCTCGGAGGAGACAAGCAAGCCCCTCAAGAAGGCTTGGCAGACGAGACAAGTCGTGAGTCCTCTTTCCTCTTATGCAGTGCAAGGAGCTCCCAATCTTCAGCTAGGGTCAAGCATCCTATGAAGATGCACCACTTCCTCCCTCCCAAGAGTCATGTGCAGAATGGCTGCAGCTAGTTTTTAAGAAGCATTCCAGTTGGATCCATTTCACTTAGACTCATGAGGACTTTGCAGTCAGGGACACATGAGGTTTTTAACCAGGGAAAGATACTAGGATTGGTGTGAAGACAAAAGTCAGGATGAGGTCAAAAGACTAGTGGTGGCAGCTGGTGGTGGACTGAGGAAAGTGTAGGACAAGGGCAAGTTTGAGTTTAGACTGTGGAATTTGAGCTGCTTCCTACATATCCAGGAGAAAGAGCCAAGTATGGTTATGACCCAATAATTGCACCGGTCCAGGAAACCTATTGTGGGTCTGTCAGCACCAGGAAAGGATCAGTGACACCATCCCTGTGCTGTTATTTTAGTATCACATGTGGCCAGCAGGTCATTTCTAAATGTGTTGGGTGCCAGCAGGAAACTCGGGAGTAGCCCCGCAGGCAAAGAAAAGGCTGATGGGCCTCTTGTAACAGGCCAGAGGCTCATCAGTGGTAGGGCTCTGGCCCCTGACTGGATAATTTTAGTGGCTTTCTGTCCCCCTTCCCCCTCCTCCTTACAGCTGGAGCTACTTCCAGCCCTGAATTCTGTCGCACTTTTGCAGTTGTCTGAATAATCCCTTCCGAAAGGAGGATCCGTGTCACCGGGTTGACACAAGAGTCAGTTGAGTGGGAGGCAAGAGATGACTTCACCAGAGTCCATTAGGATCAAATTTCCAGAGCAGGATGGGGCTCCCCCTGCTTCTACCCCCATCCCTTTTCTTCCTCTGCTGCCCTAGGAGTTTTTATTTTTTTTTTAACTTCAAGCTTTTTGTTGCAGTAATTGCTTTGATATGAACATGCAGCTCCTATCAGATACATGTGGATGAGAACAAACTCCAGGATTATGGTTTTCCCTAGGAGTTTTTTAAGCGATTTTCCCACAGAATAGTCATGTTTCCCTCTGTGATTCTTTTCTTTTTTCTTTTTTGTCGGTCATGGGGCTTGAACCTGGGTACTCTTCAGCTCAAGGTGAGTACTCCACCAATGAGCCACAGTGCCACTTCTGGTTTTCTGGAGATAAGAGGCTCACGGACTTTCCACCAATGAGCTACAGTGCCACTTCTGGTTTTCTGGAGATAAGAGGCTCACAGACTTTCCTGCCTGGGCTGGCTTTGAACCATGATCCTCAGATCTCAGTCTCCTGAGTAGCTAGGATTACAGGGGTGAGCCACTGGCAGCCAGCTGTGGTCCTTTTCCTCCTCCTCCTCCTTTCTTCTTCTTCCTTCTTCCTCCTCCTCCTCCTTCTTCTTCTCTTTTTTTTTTTGGTGCTGGTCCTAGGGCTTGAACTCAGGACCTGGGTATTGTCCTTGAGCTTAGTGTTTGCTCAAGGCTAGTGTTCTATCACTTGAACCACAGCTCCATTTCTGGTTGTTGTTGTTTTTGAGTGATTGGAGATAGAAGATTCATAGACTTTCCTGCCTAAGGTGGATTGGAACCATGAGCCTCAGATTTCAGTCTCCTGAGTTGCTAGGATTATAGGCATGAGCTACTGGTACCTGGCTCCCCCATGACTCTTAAAAGGTAGGGAGATGAAGACTGAGGTTTCATCTACTGTTCCAAAGCCTTTCTGTGAATTCAAACCAACTGTTTCCTAACTCTGGGCCTCCATCCCCAGTAGGTCTCCACCGAAGAGCAAGGCTAGGAGTGTGGGAGCCTGGGGAGGTGGTGCAGGGCTGCTCAGGAGGCCAGGGTGAGAGGATGGCTTCAGCTTGTGAGTTAAGAGACCAGCCTGGGCAACATAGTGAGAATCTGTCTCAAAATAAAACCACCTGGTACCTAGGAGACCAAGACCTAGAGAACTGAAGTACAAAGTTGGTCTGGGCATAGAAGTCCTCGAGAACTCCATCCCCCAAACCAGCAGCAACAATCAGGGCTGGAGGTGTGGTTCGAGGGGTAGAGTACCAGCCTCTAAGTTCAAACCCTAGAACAGGAAAGGAGGAAGGAACACCTATTGAGAAGCACATTTGTGGTCTGAAGTCCTTGTAGGCACAATCCATCAGCACCCAGCTTTTGTGCTTTATCTTTCTTTTCTTTTTTCCTCCATCATCATCTTATGGTAGCTTACGCTGCTGGAGCCCCTCAGAGTTCCAGAGGTTAGTAAACCCCACTTCAAGATAAAATTTCCCTTTCCTACAGGGCTACAAGCTGGACAAACTCCTGCTCCTTTCTGTCAGGAAGGGTTATGCATGCCCAGGCATCTGGATGCGTGAGCAGAGGCTGTTTAATGACGACGTCACGGGGAGAAAGTCTGATGCCATGGCCTCACTGCATCTAAGATATAATGAATGAGGTCAAAGAAGTCATTATCCTTGGATCCTAAGCAAGAAAAACTCCCCAGAGAAATGTTCCTTTAGCGTGAAAGGCAGAGGGGAATTTAGAAAAGAGAAAGAAAAGTAGGAAGGCTGTGGAAGGAAAAGCAAGCCTCTCAGCTGATGTGAATGAGCTATTTCTACTCCCCTGGCTTCCCTCACTGGCTCCCTGTTGCTCAGAGACCCCAGGGCTGCTTGAAGAAACCAAGATGGAATGGTGGGCCTTGTCAGGAAAGATTATGTAGGGCCGAGGGAGCCAAGAGCTGGTCTGAGCCTTGCGGGTCAGACAAGGTCAGGGTTTCTAGAGCTGAGAGGTTCTGACTCATGGAAGGAAAGGAGAGGTGACATCAGAGCCTGCCAGTGGTGCCCCGGAATCTCAAACAGTGGCCTGTGGCTCTTGGATGTTGGCCAGAGCCTTCTGCCTGGGGAGGGCTTGAGGCACGGAAGGACCCAGGGCAGGAGAATCTCTTTGGAACGGAATCTGTTTTGGCAAAGTCTCTCCGTTTACATAGCAACTGTCATCTGTGGGCCCTGTCCGCTGTGCTACCATCCTGGAGACAAAGAATGTGAGGGAGGAATGAGACTAGCCTTGAATGAGGGTGACAGGTGTGAATGAACCTCTCCTCTACCTAACTGCTCTCTCCTACTTTGCCTCAGTGGCCTTCCCAGTAGGCCTAAAATACTAAATTGGGACCTGCTTGCCTTGCCCTAATTCCTGCCAGAGCTGGCAAGAGAGGAAGGCCTATCTCTTACCTGGACCACCAGCAATTGGCCGATCCTGGTGTGTGAGTGTGAGGGTGTGTGTTTACTGCCAACTGGGCAGAGGGGAGGCTGGGGGTTGTGGAGGGCCCTAGAAGCTTTTTTCCTCTTCAATTTTTATTTTCTTTGGCAGTACTGGGAATTTGAACTCAGGGCTTCGTGGCACTTGCTAGGCAGGCACCTTCTTTCAAATTTTTGGTATGGTCTTACTTTTCCTCCCTAGGCAGACCTGGATCACCATCCCCTACTGATGCTGATGTTTCCTATATAGCTACAATGACAGGCACCACACCTGGTTGAGATGGTGGGGAGGAGGGGGTTCCACGTGTACGTATGTGCGGGGGGTGGGGGGTGAGGGAGAGGGAGAAGTGTTCTCTCAAACTTTTTGCTTGGGTTGGCCTTGAACTACAATCCTCCTGTTCTCTACCTCCCAAGGAGCTGGGATTACAGTAGCTTAAACCCTTACACAGACACACACCAACTTGTGTTTCAGCCTCAAGGTGCAGTGATGTATTACTGTAGTCCTTAAGATGCTGCCATCCTTTTCTGGCTCCAAGGCTTCTTGTGGCTTCAGTGGCTACTGGCAGCATCTAGCGCAGAGGTTGCTTCCGTGCATGAAGCACCTGATGTGCCACTGTGAAGGGGGGACTTTCTATAGCACGTACCCATGGTGCTGTCCTCCCATACTACCTCCCCCTCACAGCCTGGGTCCAGTTGGCTCCTGGGGTACAGATCTGAAATTAGGGTTAAAGGTAGGGAGATACTGGATGGGCAGCAGTTTACCCTAGCTCACTCTGGCTCCATGACAATGGACATGTTTGGCATTACCCTTGTGTGCTGAGAGAGGAGGTCTTATTCTCCCCACAAAGTGACTCAAAGGAAATTTAGACTCTTCTACCCCTCTTTCTCCAGAGTGCTGTTCAAAAGCCCAGGAGAGAAAAATCCTTTGCTTTCTTTGCCCTTGTTTGGACTCAGAGGGACTTGGAGAAATGCGTTGTTCAGTGTAAAATAATAGCCCAGGATCTGATGAGAGGATCTGGGCAAGCGCAGACCTGGTTGAATCATCATCTTGGTGCTTGTGTTCCTTAAAAATAACCCCCTGGCAAGGTTCTAATTATAAATTAGGGAGCACTGGGAAGAGGTTTCTGCATGCCCAATAGCTCAGCCAGCCCTGGCCCTGACATGAGCTGGCTACTGAGCACGCTTTCTAGCTGGGCCCTGGGGCAGGTGCGGCCCTTTGCCATGCCACAAACTACAGCCATTGTTGCTGTGAAAGGGTTTCATCTTCTCCACCATCCGCCAGGATTCTCAGCTTTGTTTGCTTTCTGCCAGAATTTACCCCCACCCCTACACCGCCTGTTTCTAGATACCTAAGTGGGTTGGGGACCATGAGGAAGAAGAAAACCTTGTCTCTGCTTTGGGAGCCTACGAGCTATCTGTCATGACAGAACCACATTCAGCTTAGTAGGCAGATCCTATACAGGTTAAAATTTGTATGTAAACAAACAAAAACCTCTTTTTGTTAACTCTTAAAATTAGCAAAGCAACATGAATTCCTGGCTTAGCACTTAAAGTAGTCCATGATCATAGTAGCGTATGAAGCCCAATCTTCCATTTACATATCAGAGACCTCAACTATTCATTGAATGGTAGGTATCCAGTAGTGGGATTCATAGATGAATGTACTTGCGTCCTGCCCTTATTCAGTTTCTGGGACAGACCCATGGATGGTGGTCAGTAGGAAACAACACTTAGTAAGTACTGGAGTTTGAGTGTCAGAAATTAGAAAATGC